GAGAAATGCATGGATATTGGAGTCAGCTAAGCATGGGTTCAAATTCTACCTCTGCTATCTATGAACTGTGTAATCTTAAACTACTACTTACCTCTTGCAATTGCTTTGCAGATTCAGCTGGATGACATAAGCAAAGCTTCAAACCCATGCAAGTGGTCAACCAAAGGTAGCTGTGAGCCAGGTGCTGGTGGCTCACGCCTGTAATCCTAGCTACTCAGGAGGCTGAGATCTGAGGATCACGGTTCAAAAGCCAGCCTGGGCAAGAAAGTGCATGAGACTCTTATCTCTAATAAACCACTAGAAAACCAGAAGTGGAGCTGTGGTAAAAGTGGTAGAGCACTAGCCTTGATCTGAAGAGCTGAGGGACAGCGCCCAGGCCCAGAGTTCAAGCTCCATGACAGAGGGAAAAAAAATAAAATAAGGTAGCTGTGGTGGCAGGTTTTGTAGTTTTTGTTGTTCTTACAATTATTGTGCCAGGAGACATGGGTAAAACAAAACCACACTTTAAAAGCTTTTTATTAGCCAAATCATTCCTACTTTTGTTATTTAGCATTTAATTTGCAGCTATTTATATTTGCAATTAGTTTGACAATCCTATTTCTCACTCATGACAACTGGGATAAGAAGGTGAGCATTATTACCATTACTTTCTAGATGAGGAAAAGGCATCCTTCCCCATCTATTCCCTCACGATGATTCTATGATTAAAGGCACCTGCAATCATGTTCATTAGTTCCCTATGAAAATGATATTCTACACAGATGTCAATGCAGGGAGGGAGAATTAGCAAGCACTTGCTAGCAACCCCAAAATAGCATCTAAATAATCACTTTGGAACATTCAAGTCATGGCAAACAAGTTCCAATTTAAATAGAAGTATTGGATAGGATGAAGGAAAAATGAACAAATCTATTTTTCTTTATATTTGCGCATTGGGGAAATGTCTGATATAGCTTAGGATTGGTTTGAAATGTAAACAAAGGATGGTTAATTTCCTGTGTGAAGGCTCTTCCATTCAGCAGGTTGAAATAGATTTATGCACCACTTTGTGTTAACTCAAACACAAAGTAAAAGAGATCTAAGATGGAAAGACCTTAGTGGCTCTCAACCAAAGGTCATCAGAAAGCTCATGGACTCTACAAGGGACCAAATGCATCCCAAACACTCCCCTGCCCCCACCCCACCCTCTACCCAAGACTGAATAAGAGCTTATCTGCATATATATTATTTTGCATATATCTATAGCTATCTATTTTTTCATGAATGAAATATAAAGACTTCTAACAGTACTACTGAGTTTATCATTGGCATATTGTAACTATTATTATATGGTAAGGTACAGTCTTCGTGCTCAAAAAAGTTAGGAAACGGACCAACCCAGACCTCTTTCTTAAGAAGCTCTTAGGGTCATCTGTGATTCCAGTGGATGTTTTATCATTCCCAGATTGTCCTTACCTCACACCATACAGGCTCATTCATATATCTCCCCACCCCCAAACATCCCCCTAGTCTGAGACTAGGACCTTGGTACTTGCTTTTGCTCATTGGCTAGCACTCTACGAACTGAGTTACGCCTCCAACCACTTACTTCCTCTTTGTAAAGGGAGAGCAAAGTTCTACCCTCTCTAAGGGTATATGTTAAAATTCTGTACATCTCCAGAGTCTTAGCTTTTCCTTCCCTCCCATTCCCAACTCCCCAGGCTGGTATTTTTAGGATTAGGTCCATACCAACTTCTTTCATGCACTGATGCTCTGATAGTGTCCTGGGACACTGAGTCTCAATATGAGATGAATAAAGCAGTCACCAAGGTGCTTAAAGAATATGTGAAATCTGTATGCCATCTGCATATACATGAGTGTATTATACAGCTAAAACCCCAGGGCTCCTAATTATCTGTAGAAAATAAATACAAATACTCATAAATTACCATTTTGTTTATTGGCTCTATCAACACTAGCAGGCTGTTAATAAATTTGCCTAGCAACTTTTCAAAAAGGCTTTATGTCTGTTATTTCAATTTATTGTTTGCTGATTCATTTAAGTGCTACTGGAGTATCATTAACATTTAAGTGTTGTTAAGAGAGGAAATGGTATGGATTTTATTTGCTCCTTGTTCTCTAGTACCGAGAACAGTGCCTGGAATATGGCAAAAATTCAAGGAATATTTGTTGATTGAATAACAGAAGTGTAACAGTATGATAGTTCTGTTTCTATGCCTTCACAACATTTCATTTTTATCTGAGATGAAATGAACCTATAACAACTAAATCCTTAATAGTTTCTTCCCAGTAATCAATTCTCCTGTAATCTCTGGCTTCATATCCTTTCCCCAAATACATATTGTAGTTTTGAAATTTACTTTTGAAAATTACTTTTTGAAAGTAATTGATTCATATGAGGAAAATAGGATATTAACAATATATAAAAAGAGGAAAAGAAAAGCTCCATCGGATGATAAGATTGACATATGTTCATGAGGTTCTGCTGTGTGCATATGCACACACGTGCATGGGCATGCATGCACACACATGCGTTCCAATGTGACATTGCTGAAGTCTGTCTTCCACTTTGGATTTAGAAGTTTTTCTTCTCTGAATCTATCTTGTTTGTCTCTTGTTATAACTCCTTACTATCCTATGACCTAAATCCACTCCTTTCCCAGTACCTTGATCCTCCAAATGGACCTCCCCTCCCATTTTCCACCAGCACATACATCTGTTCTTACCTCAGCTTCTAAGTCCATGAGGACATCTATCTCCACTTGTGGTCCTCCCTATAGTCATCCCAGATGCCAATGCTCCTCAAGCCCCACTTGTCCACAGCCCAATGCACTACATCCCACCAAGGGCAGACAACTCATCTATCTTAAAAATCGTAGCAGAAGCCTACATTACCCTGAATGGTCTACTGCGGTTCCCCAGTGACCCAATGTCTTTCTATTCTTCCTTCTCTCTCATCCATCTCTTCTCATCGTTCCTATTGTGATTTAGGCCTTTATACTTACAGCATTTCTGCCTAGTTCTCCTGCTGTCTGTACAGCCAAATACATCGATCCTACCAGCTGCTACTGAATCATTTGTGGTGGTTTCCCACACTTACAGAATGAGATTCCAGTCCATTCGCACTCTCACCTCAGCTATTTTTTTCTTCCCCCCTCACCTCAGCTATTTTTTTCATCATAATTTCTCATTATTCCTCAAAACAAACCCTCACTCCAGACAGAATGGCATACTCATTATTAACCCAACTCTAAAATAGGTTGTGAATTCATCACTTCTGACCATTTATGTGTCCAACCCATTCATTCACCCAATAAGTATTTACTGAGCATCTATTCTATTAGGCAGTACTTTGATGCTGTGGATGCAGGGATAAACAAGACAGAGACCCACAAGAGTTACAGGGGGCAATTCAGTGGCTAGCAAGCCCTAGGCCCTGAGTTCAATCTCCATTACAAACAAAAGACAAATGGGTCAAGGCAGCCCTGAAGGATAGGCTTTGTGGTCTAGGCTACAAGTGGGCAGCCTAGAGTTGAGAAGAATGGACAGACTGACTGAAACCAGGGCTGGAGTGGAACACAGCCTCTTTGAAGACACGGGAGTCAGACAGAACGTTCCGGGATCTGGGAACATGGATGCCTTCTATGCAAGTAAACGAGGCAAGGTACAAATATTGTGTGGAAATATGGACATTAGAATGGTTTTGTAAAACAACAACAACAAAAATAAAGTTCTCTGAATACCCAATCAGCAGAGCGCCAGGCTCTGCAGTGGACAGGAAGATGACTCATTCTCAGCTCCAACCATCCAGGGATTTCCATCCAGCAAGGAGGAGAAGGCAGGTTGGTGAGGATGACTCACAGCCTAGCAAGAGAGATGTTTCGTAAGAGAGTCGGAGGAAACAGAGGGCATTTAGAGGGAGGACGTACAGAACCATTTATCTTTATTCATCTATAGCCACATGGTACATATGCAGAAAACATTTTGTTTCTAAGTGCTTTCTTACTAGCTTTCTTTATTCTAAGCGACTGGCGAAGCAGGCGGAGTGGGTCAGATTATGTCTTCCAGATGAGCAAGAATGGCACCGAGCTTTTAAGTGATCTACTTATGTCGCGTACCTAAACAGGCAAGGGCAAAACAAGAGCACGTTGGCCACATCGGCCCACACCCGTGGCAGTGCAAGTATCCAGGGCACAAGGCACGCACTAAGAAGTTGTGCAGCTGCACAGGACACCTGGCAGGTGCAATGAAGCCATGCAGCCTTCTGGCGAGGGGGTCGGACATCACCTAGGGCTTTCCTCCACCACCGCTCACCTCCCCAATTCCTGCCTTCTTCCTCCGGGCTCCCAGACCTGTCCAACCATAGCCATCCCTTAGGACTCCTCTCCCCCGCCCCTCAGTTTATTTGTCCCACACTGGCTGGTTCTGGCATTGATTTCATCGCTCCTAATTGATCTCCCAGGGAAGGGTGCGTGTGTTTCTCCCCTGGACACCACAGTGCGTCCGGCCAGTTCTCTGCGTGTCTCGGCGCATCATCCGCCGGACGAATGGATTTCTGGAACCTCTCTGGATCAGACCCCGGGGGTCTTTGCGGCATCCCCGGCCCGGCGGGCCCGCGCGCAGGTCACTGCCCTAACCGCACACCTCCGGGGCCGCTCCGGGGAAGGTCGCCCGGAGCGCGCGCGCCACCGGGGCTCGCGCATCCCCGATCCCGCAAAACGCGCTTCGTGAGATCGGGTCTCCATCAGGGGGAGGGGGTCCTGGGGAGAGGAGGGGTCAGAGGTGAAAATCCCGGCTGGGAGAGCTCGAGAGTCCGGAGTGCGGGAGCCGAGCCCTCGGGAAAGGGGAGGGAGGAGTGCGCCCGAGACGGGTTCTGCCCCCGGGAAAGAGAAGTCCTGGCGACCTAGGGGCTGAAAGCCTCGCGAGATCTGGGAGTGGGATCTCGTTGTGTTGCCTAGTGACGGGAGGACGCTCGCGGGTCCGCAAACTAAAGTCGGCGGTAGACTGAAATCTCCTACCATGGGGGAAGAAGGCGGCGGCCGCAGCTGTGGGATCACTAGGGAGCTGCAGAAGCTGAAGCAGCAGGCGATCGAGTACTACCGGGAGAACGACGTTCCGCGCAGGCTGGAAGAGCTGCTCAACTCCACCTTCTACCTCCAGCCTGCCGACGTCTACGGGCACCTGGTAGGGACCCAGGGACGAACGCCCTCCGCCCTCCCGCTCTTTCTCCCCCCCCCCCCCCCCGCTGGGGGCTGCGACAGTTCACTGCGCCTGCGCCTCAGACTCGCGCACGCGCGCCGCGCGGGGCCTTGATGCGTCCTCCTTCCGGAAAGAGGTGGGAAGCCGGCCGCCCGCGGAAAGTGTGCCGCCAGGACGACAGCGCAGAGCATGGCAGCCTTCCTCGCTACCCAAGGAACCTCTACCTCTTCCCTGTGGGCCTCTGCAACCCAGATCTGACGCCCAGCTCAGCTTACCTGTCTGCGGCCCGCTTCCCTCTGCGGGATGGGTGCTTGCTCTGGCGTCTGCTACTGTTTAGCCCCAGCCCACCTCTAGGGCCTCAACCAGCTGACTTCCATTGCTTCCAAGTTTCCCTCCGAGCTCTAGTTGGGACGTCCTCTGGTCTGGGTGATCCACCCCACCTGGCCAGCTCCTTTAACTCCAGAATTCACTCCAGAAGCCTTGCCCACGTGGCCCTAGACTAAGTGTCCTTGGGTAGTCCTAGGGTTTTCTGTTTTTGTGTTTCCTAAGTCCTTTGAGTCATCCTCCATCAGCCAGCTGGTGAACTGCTGAGACAGGAAGCCTGTGCATTAAATTTGGGGGCATTTTAAGGGAGATCATGGGGTACTGTTAAGCCCCTTGTGACTTGTTATCTCTGACCTTGGGACCATTTCAAAGTAAAATATGAGTCCCCTTTTCCAAATAAAGAATCTGCAGCTCAGATATTTAAATGATTTTCCTCAAGGGACACAGTGAATGATAGATCAAAAAGCCAGGTTTGTATCTCTAGTACCTAGCTGAGTATGTGGTGGAAAGTGTGCCTCAACAACGATTTATAGCATGAATGAGTGAATACTTGAATTGAGCCCACTGACTCTTGGAAATACCGAAGCCACTTACTCCTGGGTTTACAAAGACAGCCCTGTCTCACAGGTCCTTAGTATACAAGCTAAGATGATAAATTTGGAATTTTGTTCCATAGGTAGCATAATGCATTTCCTAGTCAGTTAGGCAGCTGGAACACTCACTGGTTTGTGCATCTCTGTACTGTGGAGCGTGTACCATGGTTAGGGACAAAACTTCACTGATGTGTGATCATTGTGTGTTAAATGGCCAGAGTAGTCACTGTGTCACTGTATACCTATCCAAGGACTTCAGGGATGGAGAAGATCCTTGCAGGTGGGAATAGTGAGGAGAGCTTTTGAGGTATGTTCCAAAATTGCACTGACAAAAAGGGGCAACCTCCTTTTCATTTGCCCAGTCACTGTTCCAGTTTATCCCTGTTTCACCTTGTTTCTCCCTCGTCTATGCCATCCATCCTGCAGTGCTGCCTGAGCAATGTCCACAATAACCCGAGCCTGAGGATAACTCTCTTCCTTAGAAACCAGTGTCTTCCCCTGGCAGAATACAATCACACACCTTCATTTATGTGGCAAAGTGCTTGGGTCCTACTTCCACCACTTCCCTTCCACTCCTCTATGTTAGACTACCTACTGCCCTCGGAAGCCTGGAGTTGCCCATTCCCTTCTGTTTGTTCATCTCATTCCCTCTATCTGCAGTATCTACCTCCACTAGGCGTCAATTTGGTATTTCTTCTGTATTTCTCAAACATCAGATAAATGCAGAGATAGAAAGCAACCCTTAGAGGCAACAATAAGACTGTGCTCTTTCATCATAAAAGTCATGGCTGAAAGGAGTTTGGACTAAGAAAAGTGTTACATTGACCAGTCCCCACTGGATATAACATTACAGTGAAAGCTTTTATGAAAGTCCTTCCCACATGGACTCTGGACCTGCCTTGATCGCAAAGATATAATCCAAAAGAGCGTGATAAGTGTTAGCATATGGAAGCTAGGCTTCATGCTAGAGAAAGCCCAAATACCTTGCTGAAAAGAGAACCAATGAAAAAACAGGCCATGGCAGATGTCCAGCAGCTAGCATATCCAGTGAGAAAGACATGTCTGGCCAGGCATTGGACCTGTGATTGACACCACTGGATATTCTGGCCCCATCAAGCCTTCCTTTAGGTGATACATCTGCATAGGAATCCCCAGACACAACTAGGAAAAGAATGTTCCAGTTCAGTTCCATTCACATTGCCAAACCACAAGCAAATAAATAGTTTCTTCATGATTCTGAGTTCTAGAGTATACTGTTACAAGCAGTAGATCATTCAAACACTGGTGATATGATCTAGGACCATTTCTTTCTCTACAACTCAGTTTAACACCATCTACCTCAACTGCATTGAGAATGTGATGATAGGCATACCGAATGTGCAAGGACACTGACATACATTGGTTTACATAAGACTCCTATATATGGCAAATATGGTAGTATGTGATTCAGTGAACACACTTGAAAAATGTTAGTCCCGTCTCGTCTTAATAGTATGTGGCACATTGCTGGTGCTTTGTTGAACTGAGCCCGTTGCAAACACATACTGTAATATAAATACCATTTTTTTCCTTTTCCAATTTTCTGTCACCACAACCCATCCATCTTTAAATTGAATGATAGCCTGAAAATTGGCTTTGATTTCATTCTGCTGGAGCCACTCCTGAGCTGGCTCATTGCTCTGGGTGTTAGACAAACACATTGTCTTGGCTAAAGTCACTGGATCTTAACTGGACCAGAAACCTGGTCTACCGCATGGTGACAAAGAGGCCGAGGAGATTGTTCCTTAACTTTTTCTCCTCCCATCATCTCTGGTTTATGCTCCTCTGCAGAGAACGCCACCTCTAACCATTTCCCTTCTGCTCTTGGAGTGGGCTTCCCACCTCAAGAAACTATTACTAAGATTTCAACAAGCCTATTTGACTACAGAAGTCTGTAAGTGAGATTCAGTCACTAAAGGCATATGGCTAAAAGCCCATATGACTTGCTGGGAGAATAAAAACGATTCCCTTTTTGGATTCTTACACTTGAATACACAGCAGAGTTCCAGAGGCTAACGTCCTTACCATAGACTCTTTCTCTTGGGATCCATTAGGAGGCCGAGTTACTCTAGAAAGTTTTGCTAAAGAGTGACACAGGGCCATAGATTAAGAATTGAGTTTCTGCTAAGAGTTCAAAGACAACACATTGCTCCAATATGCCAGAGACACAGCCAGCAAAAGCCCAGTAGGGCTTTGCAGTCACAGGGATACTCTGATAGCACCAAACTAGGAAGGATACTCATGGAGAGGCCCAGTAAACTACAGGAAATGTGAACCGTCTTTTGAAGATGAACTCAAAGCGATGTTCTGATTTTTGTTTCCTTATGTGTGTGTTGAAGGCAAACTACTTTTCCAAGCTTGCAAAGCCTCCCACTATATGCAGAGTTGTGGGAAAAAGCATCCTGGATGGACTGGGGCTTCCCACACTGCAAGTGGAAATATTCTGCACCATTCAAAATTTTTCTAAGGTACGAGGCAGTTTAAGTCTTCCTCTACTTCCTGCCCTGCATTTACTAACAACTCTGGTCTAAACTAGAAATTTATGTTTTGAAGGTCAGTGTTTGTGAAAAAATGTATGTGTGTGTATATATATATATATAAATGAATAAACACACACATATATAAACATACTGATTATTCATAGTCACATGAGCATGAATCATACAATCAACTATGAATTTTATATTTTTATTATCAGTATAATTTTGATACAGACATTACATACTAATCTGAAGAGGATCCAAGATCCAAGAGAAGGAAAATTAGGCAAAAATAGTTTTAAGACTCTGACTATACAATGTGATGAATCCTATAAATTCACATGGGTTTACAGTTTTATAGTGTTATATGTTCACATAGATTTAGGTTGGTTTGAATAAAATAACTCATTTAAGGAATTTTAACATTTCACCTTAACTGTGATATAAATGTTAGAAATCATTTTGCCACAGCAGCTGAGTAGAGAATAATCACGGTTAAATCTGTCCATAACCTTGTCACTATTTATCCAAGAGGTAGTGAGAGAAATGAAATTCAGTGTTGGGCTTTAATGTGAGTACTTTATCAAGGTAATAATGGTAAAGGTTTCCAGAAGTAGGATTTCACAGTGTTAGAATAGCTATGAAAATATCTCAAGGGGAGAAAGCAGTCAAGAATCATATATATATAATCAAATATATATATATATATATATATATATATATATCCTACAAAATTAAGAAGAGTAAAAGGGGGAGGGATGGATGAAAATGTTGAAAGGGGTGACATTGATCAAGCGATATTATAGTTATAAACTCCTTTATTAAATAACTCCTTTGAACAACTACTTAAAATATTTTTTTAAAAACTATCAAAAAAGTGATATATTCTTGGTCCCCCCCCACATGTCAATTCCATTTCCTGTTCTGTGAGACTTAAGGAAGATGTGGGGCACATCTGTCTTGTTTTCAGCACATCTGTTCTGTGGAGATCTCCACTGACTTTGAAGTTCTGGAGAACGCTTCATCAGAGCTGGTAGAAGCAGAAGAGGCAGAGAGGGACATGGCAGTGAACACAGCAGTGCAGTGGATCAACGAGGCCATCACGGAGGAGCTGCAGGGCCGGATAGCCACTAGACAGGCTGAGGTGGACCAAGTACTCAGGTACAGCTTCGACTTTGAAAGAGAGGCATCAGTTGTCTGTTGTCTTTCCCTTCACCTATCAGTTCGATGTCTCTGTACAATCTATAGAGATGGGAAGTCCATTTGGGAAGTATGTGACAAAGCAGCAGTTTTTACACCAAGTGCCATTTTCTCCTCCCAAATCTTGCCACTAAACTCTGCATGAGGTCACATAGCACCTTCTGATCTTTGTCATACATGAAGCTTCCCTACCATTCAGCAAAAAAAGTTTGTCTGGAAAGGCATCAAAGTACAAAACCAGATGTCCTCACTTGCTCTTATGCCACCTTTGAGCTCTTCATGACCTTCTGTGGAGTCAAGTGTGTCTTACCTTCAAGTCACATTCAAGTCTTCTATGCTTTGGATTAGTGGGGTTTGATTCTAAAATTAAAAAAAAATTCTTTTGAAAAAATTTTGCCTGGAATTTTATGTCATTGTGCCTAAATAAGATTTCTCAAAACTAAAAAAACAGACAACAACAACAAAAAAAACCTATTTACCTTAAGTTGGGGGGGGGGATTATGCCTGCAATCGCAGCCTCTCAGGAGGCTGAAGTCTGAAGATCATGGTTCAAAGCCAGCCTGGACAGGAATCTGTGAGACAATTATCTCCAATTACCAGTAAAAATAAACCCAAACAAACCTGGAAATGGAGCTTTGGCACAAGTGGTAGAGCACTAGCCTTGAGCAAAAAACCTCAGGGATAGCACCCCGAAGTAAAAGATCCAGGAATGGCATTGTATATATATACAAAAAAAATACTTACCTTATGATTCTCCCAACATGAAGACAAAAAGACATTTTCCACAAAATGCTGTATTTAACCATGTATTCTCATTTTTGATAGATCTGTCTTTTGAATATCGTACAAAAGAAAATCCCAGTATTTAATCAAATTATGTCTTCGAATTTATTCTAAAAGCACAGAAAGAACTCAAATCATTTTTTAAAATCCTTAAATATTTGCTGCCAAGCCAAAACGAGCTTCAGTCCTTGAACATAGTTTTAATAATATCATATTAAGTTTGACCTTGGAGAGTTTGTTTTTATGTAGCTAAAAAGCATATCATGAAAACATTTGGGGATCAGCTCTAAAACAGAGAGATATTTGTAAATATCCCATTATAAAGCCATATTTTCTTTCTATTAAGGACATTCTTTGCAAATAAAGTACAAGAAGATAAGGAGCAGAAAGAGTTGGAGAAAACCATGGAAGAGTCTACAGCACCTGTTCCTCCACCTGTAACACCACCCCCACCCCCTCCACCTCCTCCCAAAAAGAAAGGGCCCAAGTCAGGTCAGTAGCTTACCAGCCTGTGGATCCATGTGAGGAAGAAGGCAGACTAAAGCTTGGACTGGCTGGTTCCCAGCTGGGTGCCATCCAACATTCACGCTAGGTCTTTGCTTGAAGCTGGGTGGGCAGGGTTTTCCCCACCTCCATTTTTACTTGTAAAACAAAATGATTACTCAGAGGTGAGCATTTATTAAATAGACCCTTCACCCTTCCCCCGCTGGAAATTTCCATTAGGTAATCAAAAATGTATTCCAAGCCTGGCATTGGTGGCTCACACCTGTAATACTAGCTGTTCAGGAGGCTGAGATCTAAAAGATTAAGGTCTGAAGCCAGTCTAGGTAAAAATATTTATGAGACTCCATCTAAAGCCAGTCTAGACAAAAATATTTGTGAGACTCCACAAATATAACTAGCAAAAAGTTTGGCTGGAGGCATGGCTCAAATGCCTGAGCACCAGCAGAGCAAGCTAGTGTGAGGCTTTGGGATCAAACCCCAGTACTAGCAAAACAACAACAACAAAATGCCATTTTTTTAGAGATTAGTAAAGGATTTTACTCCTTTTTACTCTTTTTCATGGACATCTGGCCCTTCCTAGGTCAAATGCAAATTAATGTTTGCCTGAGAAATCTTTACTATTTTAAAGAAAATAATTGAGGTTATCACTTTAACTTGTCCTTTGCCCATGCCTTCCAAAAGATCGCTAGGTATGTATGGTATGTTTACCTCAGAGTTGCTCCTAGTAATTATTTTTCTGTCTGTCAAACTAAAGCATCTCCTCATTCAATTTGTTATCATTACAGTGGCTAGCATGATGCTAGGCATACACGAACACCCAATAAATGTGCATCCCATTTTATAAGAAAGCACCAAATCAGGAGGGGAATATGAAAACAAGATCTCTTCTTGTATTGATTCTGGCTGCTGAGATCCAGAGAGGGACAGAGAATCAAACAAGACAAAAGAATTCTACTAGTCTCCTCTCTGGAGACTGAGTCTTTAGACCATAAGTAGATGCTCATTTGGCAGTTGTTTTTGGCTGCTAAAAGGAAAGATATAGAATGGAATGGTAATTTGCTAAGCCTTTCATATGTGCTTGATGCATACCCATCTTATCTCCATAGAGGATTTGAGCTGTGGGAACTGGACAAAAGAACTAAATTAGATTTATGACAGAATATAATCTGATCAGACAGGGTGGCTGAGAACGTGTTACGATGAAAGGTGGGTCTGTGGCATGTCTAAAGATGATAAACATCATCAAAGCAGTCATTTAGGGTTGATGAGGGGGATAAGTATATACATGTAAAGATGCCTGACCAAAAACTGGGTATAAAGATAGCTATGACAAGACACAGGAATAAAGGATATGGAATGGCAAGATGATATAAATCCTTTCTTTATGCACTTTACATATCATGCAAATGTCTTAATCACCATAATCCCCAGTTTACTATATGTGACTTGGATAACATCTATGTCATACAGTTGTTGAGTTAATATTGATGTCTAAAATTTCGGCTCAGGATGATTTGAGCACCAGTAACTGAAACCAGCAGAAAACCTGGTGGTTGAGCTGAAGAATACCTTCTTCTCAGTCATCTTCCCTTTTACCTGGCCTTTCCATCTCTCAGTTCAATGTCCACAAGTTCAGTCTTGTCTTACTATAGTCAGACATCGTAGGAAGGAATCTTTTTCTGTGTTTTTCCCCCTCCAGGACGAAAGGACACTCTTAATGAGAAACCTATCCTGCCTGCAGAACCCCCTGAAGCCATATTCTGTGGCAGTATGGCCATTGGGGCTGTGTCACTAGCTATTGCCAAAACCAGTGCCACACTGGACAATATTCCTCTGTATTTGAACATGGCATTACTAAAGCACAATCAGGTTAGTAATGGTGAAGATTCCACTGCAAGGTGTGTCTCCAGGCAAATGAACTGTATTTCTCATTTTCCTTTCCCAATTTCAGGAACAGCCAGCAACACTAACTATGCCTTTACTGATGGGATCGCTGGTCAGCTGTGGGAAGTCATCACCTGGGAAGTTGAATTTAATGAAAGAAGTGATTTGTATACCCCATCCTGGATTATCAACCAAACAGGTACTTTACATTACCTTGCATACTTATTTTTCTTTGAAAATAACAAACAAAACCTACATCATTGATGATTTTTAAATATAGCTCCTCTATACTAGCAAGGGAGAGGAAATTAAATAGAGAATGAGAAAACATTAGGAAATCAGGGGTAATGAAAGAAAGCCAAGACCTCCTTTGAGGTCTGGTCCCTTTCAGCAGTGGCTCACACTGGCGCCTCAGAAGCCAGAAGCGAACAATTCTGAAGGCTTCGATAGTGTGGGAAAGTTGCTACGAAGGGCAGTCAAGATATCTTTATTTACTCGTTTATGAACTTTATTCACTGGCAGTAGCAAGTAGAAGCTGGCATTCTGCAGCCATTCTGTAGGAACTCCAGGCCTAGCAGATTGCCTGGCAAGTAGGAGACACTGGTTTAGTCTGTATTTGTAGACTGCATGAATCCTAAGCCTACCTTCACTTCTTGGGAGTATATTATTAGTGTTGTCTCCATTGCTCTTCAGAGGCCTGCGAGAGTCAATATGGACTTACATGGTACCAATTAATTGTGGGGAAGAACTAATCATTTATTTTCTATAATAGCTACTTTCAGAAAACATACAGGATTTCCCTCTGACCTCTGGTAGTAATGAATGCTATTTTTCTAAGTTAGTGGAAGTAAGGTAAAAAAAAACAAAAAACAACTAATCTCTGGAAGTTTTCTCTATGATAAAGAACTTCTTTTATAAATAAAATTATTATTACCTTACATTTCTTAATTATAGAAGACCAGAATTTCTATCTGACTCACCATCTGTCAGATGATATTTAGATCCTATTTCCTGAATCCTTCCCTTAGTTAATATCTGCTGTGATATTTAGTGCCAGAGCACTTGGCATGTCATTCTTTATCTGTCTTCATATGTAGATCTTATACGCATTAGAACATGCATTCTGATTTTTAAGTTATAGAGGATTCATACTGATTTGGCCACTCAAATCTAGGCTATCTTGATGACCAGTGACATGTACTAGAGAAAGCTTCCAGGCTGGTCAAGAAACCATGAAGAAAATGAAGTTACCTGGGCCAACCATTAGACCCAGGAGGAACATTGAGGAAACTAAGTCAGCTATTTGACCACACCACCTACTCCCTGAGGGCCATTATATAGGAATGTGAATATTCTGCATTAGGAATAACCATACGGAGTATATGTTCACTGGTACAATTGTGGAAGATGATGGTTATTCTACTTACAGGGCGTGGAGATGCTTTTGGAAATTCAGAAACAAATTAGCAAAGCAATGGAAACGGTATGTGAAAGTGCATAGCATCTAGCTACTCACCCCCCGCTTTTATTTTTGTCAGTCATGGGGCTTGAACTCTGGGCTTGGGCACTGTCCCTGAACTCTTCAGCTCAAGGCAAGTGCTCTACCAATTGAGCCACAGCACCACTTCTGGTTTTCTGGTGGTTAATTGGAAATAAGAGTCTTACACACTTTCCTGCCCAGATGGCTTTGAACCTCAGATCTCAGTCTCCTTAGTCGCTAGGATTACAAGTGTGAGCCACCAGTGCCCAGTGCTACTAGGACCCAACTTGTAGCTCATTTTGGAATTAGATCAATCTTGTTACCACTATGGAAAAATGGCTTTATTCGCCTTGGATTTCCCATGTGAATGTACGTATATATACATCCCTCACCGTCTGTGGATCTGCTTTCTAAGGGTAGTGAGCACTCTCATCCTGGTTTCTGTGGCTACTGGCTCTGTGATAAGACCATCCTTTAGGATTGACAAAGGATTCAGTGACTAAAAGTTAAACCCACCAGCTTGTCCCCTGAGAATATTGGAAACAGTATGCTGGGCATATAGAAGCAAACCCCACAGTGGTAGGGAGTATTCTGTCAGGCTTATCCTCTGCAAAGAGAGGATCTGCATCAAGGCAGGAGTTCCAAACATGGCGTGTGCATGCTTTGTGTATATGAACCGTTAGGTGTACAGCCCCTGTGTGTGACAATGGGCACAAACTAAGAGTGAACTCAAAGGAATGTGTTCCTGAAGTTGAAAGTTTGGGATCTTAAAGAGTATGTCTGGAATCATCCCTATGTGTGTGTGGAGGTGTGCACGTGTGTGCATGTGATGTGCATGTGTGTGGGGTGTGCAGGCTGTGAGTATGGGGTGTCTGTATGTATGTCAGTGTCTATAAAGTATGTGCATGCATGTCAGTGTGGCAGTGTCTGTATGCATGTGAGTGTGGGGATATCTGTGTGTGCACATGGATGTGATTGTGTGGGGTATCTGTGTGTATGTGAACTGGTACATAGGTGAGTGCGTGTGCATTAATGTGAGGGTGTGCATGTATGAGAGCAGAGCTGATATGAGTATGGGGGTGAGTAGAGGTGGATGACTATGAGTATGTGTGTGTTTGTGTGTAGGTCTTTGTGTACTGGAATAACATATATGTGTGTGCATGTACTTTTGTATGCATGCATGAGTGTGGTGTGTGTATGTTTATGTGTGGGGTGACTATGAGTGTATTGGGTGTCACTATTTGTGTACATGTCGGCTGACATTTAGGTGTGTTTGTGAGTGCATATATGTAATTGTAGGGTGTATATTTATGAGTGCAGGGTGACTGTATGCATACGAGGGTATTTGTGTGCTTGTGAGTATGGAGTGTGATTGTGTGTGTGTGTGTGAGAGAGAGAGAGAGAGGGAGAGAGAGAGAGAGAGAGGGAGAGAGAGAGAGAGCCACAGTGTGGCTGGCCAGGTTCTGTACAAGTAGAGGACCTGATGCTCTGCTTGCTCTCACAGACATGTTTGAAATCCGAGTGACATGTACGTGATCTTTTGTCCCACAGTTGCCACCTCCAAAAGCAGAGACAAAGAAAGGGCATGATTCAAGCAAAAGAGGTCAAGTAAGTCCATGTGTTTGTTTGCCACATCTGCTTTTCAGTTTAATAAGCATACACACACACACACACACACACACACACACACACACACATTCATACATACAACCTTAAACCTTCAGCCTCATTGATAGTGCTTCAATTTATATAGTAGCAATTCATGGCACATCACAACAGACCTTGAAATAGAGGCATATGGCTGCCTTTCCTTGGGATCCTTTGGGCTCCCAAATCCGTTAGAAACCATCCCTAGTAATGCATACTTTTAGTCTTAAGTCATTTTCTTTTTATTTTTTATTGTAAAGATACTATACAGAGGGTTACAGTTACATGAGTAAGGTAATGAGTACACTTCCTATTGAGCATTGTTATCCCCTCCAGTCATTTTCTTTTAAAAAAAATCAGACCTTTCCTGAAGGAAAATTACATTTTTAACAATTACATTCATCTAGAAGAAAACAAAACATAAGAGCGAGCAGGTTTGGAGGAAGAGGACTAGCTGAGTTAGAGACCAATGGACAGCTTCAGGGACAGACTCAACAGTCACCAACTTGGTGGCTATGGCTCAGTTTAGCTCTATAGAGTGGCAGAGCTGATAAAATAAAGCAGCAACATAGGCACATTATAGGGGAAACCATATGCCCAAAGTCCTGTGAATGGAGTCTAGAAGTTGGATTTATCAAGAACCGAAGAACTAGATCTTTGGAGAGCTGTATCAAGTTATAATCATGATCATCACAGAAGCTCCAAGGATGTTAGTTGGCTGGGATGACTCGCATCATTTTTTTTTCATCCTTAGCCACTGATCACTGGCAAGATGTCCCACCTTGGCTGTTTAACCATTAACTACGACACAATAGAACAACCCCTGCTTCTAATCCAGGGAGCCTGTGTGAACCTGGGACTAGAACTGGGCAGGAATCTGCATCTGGCCATCAACTGCGCTGGACACGAGCTCATGGACTATGTAAGTTTCCACTTGAAAGTGGGTCACCTCTGGCTGAGATACATAATTTTAACATTAGACCTCAAAGGAAGACCTTATTTGACTATATCCTCAAGGGGTACAGAATTTTAGTTATTCATATTCTGTAAGGGACCTAGATAGAAATTAGTGGAGAAAGCCAAATTAGGTAGTATAAGCAGATAAGTTTTTAGTAACACCCAGTGTCCTAATTACATGTAGACATTCTGCATACAGAAACTTCATAAATTTTAAAGTGTTTCTGAAAAGTATAAAAAATCCCTTCAATTATAGATTCCTTAGGAGTTTGCTTAATTGCATAATTTATATTGCCCTCATGAAAGCTATTGGGAAATGATATGTTTGTTGAGTATAATCCTTTGGTTGGTAAATGCTGAATTTGTCAGGCATGTTAAGTGGGTCAGTCATAATAATGATTGACAGACCTTTCTAGATAGAACCCCTCTAAGCTAGCTGAGACTTAGAGTTTAGGCTTGGCTTTCTATTTATTTATTAGTTATTATTTCTGTAGTCCTAGGGATCAAACCGTAAGGGGAGGGGTCCAGGCCTTAAACAAGTGTTTAAGGAACGGAAGCCCCGTGTGCCAGTCCCCTTTTTATAGAAAAAAAAAGATGTCCAAGTTGTTAAAAGCTTTATGAAGAATACATTTTCATTCAACTAAATATATCCAAGTGTTATGCTCAGCCTGGATGGGGAGGACAGAACCTATCTTGATGATGAAATACCATGCAGTGATTACACTACTTAGAAAAAAATATTTTCAAGAGTTGGAAAACAGGTTCATTGACACCTGTCAGGCCCTTGCTCCCCCAGGCTACTAATAATGTATTTGGGAAATCTGTGTGCTAAGAAATATATTGAATTTTTTGGTCTTACACACACACACACACACACACACACACACACACACACACACACACACACTTCCCATTTTAAAATGCAAAAATGTCAAGTCTTAATTTTATAAAATGCACATCATATTGACATGTACACAGAGTGACTTGGTTATTTTATGTCACATTTGAGAGACACAGCAAAATAAGATCCTGCTCTAACTGTAATTGTAACCTTATCTACAAAAGAAATTTTGAATAATATCTTAGGCTAGAAGTTTAGTTTTCTCAAGAAACAAAGCACAGGGGTTGGGAATGTGGCTTGGTAGTAGAGTGCTTGCCTAGCATGCATGAAGCCCTGGGTTCTATTCCTTGGTACCACATAAACAGAAAAAAACTGGAAATGGCACAGTGGCTGAAGTGGTAGAGTGCTATATTGAGCAAAAGAAGCTCAGGACAGTCCCCAGGCCCTGAGTTTAAGCTCCAGGACTGGCGAAAGAAAGAACAAAAGAACAAAAGAAAGAAAAGGAAGGAAGGAAGGAAGGAAGGAAGGAAGGAAGGAAGGAAGGAAGGAAAGAAGGAAGGAAGGAAGGAAAAAAGAAAGGAAGGAAAAAAGAAAGGAAGGAAAAGGAAGCAAGCAAACACATACAAGAATTTTTAATTTCCTATTCTTCACAGAACATGTTTTGTTTTGTTTTGGTGTTCGTACTTGGGCTTGAACTCTTGGCCTTGTGCTCTTGTTTAGCTCCACTTCTGGCTTTTTGGTGGTTAATTGGAGCTAAGAGTCTTATGGACTTTTTTTGCCTGAGCTATCTTTCAACCTGGATCCTTAGATCTCAGCCTGAGTAGCTAGGATTACTGGTACCTGGTTAACTGCATGTTTTCATCAGCAATGTATACCAAGAACAATGAATATGCTGCTACTAATGATAAGGAGTATGGGTATTTATTGCTTATATTCAATTTAATGTATTGGCTTTGCCTTAGAAAAGCTAAGGTTCTTTCATTGTGAAACGACTGCAAAATCCTTCCAGTTGTGGACTTCTTAGGAACCTAGTGAACTCCACTAAAATCTACTCTGTTAGCTGAAACAGCAGGAAGGCATTAGCAAAGAAAACAGCCACTCTTACCTGGTCTACCTCCCTCCTAAAACCTAAATATCCTAGGTGCCACCCCTGAATCCAGACTTGAGAAGAATTGCTTGAAGGCTAAAGTACATCTGTTTTATTATATGGAATGATGGGAGCTGCAGACTTCTAATGAATGGGCTTGCACTAGAATCCTCCTTTCAGGACAGTATGGTTCCTGGAAGTATGGTTCCTATTGAAGTTGCACACTACCTGAAAGATGCCTTCTCATAAACACATTTCATACTGGTTGTTAGTCCTCAAAAGGCGAGCCCTACTCTCATAGTTTTACAATATTTACAGTAAGGGAGACAATTATCTGTCCACTGTGAGTTCTAGAGTGGGCAGATTTACAGTGCTATTTTGTTGTTGTTTTATAAATTTATATTATTGTCCACCTACCTAAGCAGCCGGGGACCTGGCACCAGGTCATAAACCTAAATAAAAATACGTTCCCCTCCCACTCTGTACTTACTGGCTTTTTGTGCAGAAGGCTCCATCTGAGGTCTGTGGGAAGAGGAACACTGACTTGATTTCTCCAGGTTAATATTTTATAGATATTTAGATGGCAAGGCATTGATTTCTCAGGGGAAGCTGGCTTAAAAAGAGTCTGTTTGCAATCTTTTATGTGAAATGAACAAAGAAATCACATACTTACCACGGAAATGGTAAAAAAAAAAAATTACTCTTTGTCCTTTTATTGTGCTGTTTTCCTCACACATGTCAGAGTAAGGGGAAGTACGAAGTGATGGTAGGCACCCACAAAAACTTCACTGAGATGGTTGACCTGTATGTGGATCTGATCAACAAGTACCCCTCCATTATTGCCTTAATTGATCCTTTCAGGAAGGAGGTAAGCTGGGCCCACCTTTTCTATTTTATAACCTATATTTTATATACTATAAAGTAAGCAGGCTCAACTTGTTCATTCTCTAACATAGAATAAAATCTCATTCTTTTGGATCTCTGTCATTGGGAATATGTGGTAATTTGGGCTGGGGACTGAGGTGCTTTATTTTGGCATTCATGAAAAAGGCACTCACTAAGCAAATGAATAGCAGAAACACAATTATCTAGGAGTGTGCCTGTCTATGGAATGAACAAGCCATTCTGTAAGCCCTTCAGGAGTACCTGCGTATTTACAAACCACCTGACTGAGGGAAGCTGCCCCTGCTGTGCCAGCTGGTGCTTCAATAGGTTAATCACATATCATTTCCATGTGCTCATGGAAGCAGGACTTCAACCTAAATCTAGTTACTATATATGCACGAAAGGAACAAGGCTATATATATATTATATGTATATTTAAAATATGTATTTCCTCCCAACCCACTTAAACTCCAAGATGGGAATGCTTGATTTTGTGACCTTGAGAACCATTCATATACCGAAGGGGCATGCTGAGCAAGCATCGAGAGAAGTATGTTGATTTGAGGACAGTATGAACACTGGATTCCATTTGCAGCCCCAGAGCCTTCCAGTCCCACCTTCCCTTTCCTGGCATAGGCTACATCTAGCACTCTCAGAGGATACTTGCTGAGTTCAGAGCCAGACTGGCTTCACAATGAGGCCTCAGGCTCGGATTGTAGCTGAAATTGTAGGATGCACCCACATGGTCAGCTGTAATGGGAAAGGCTGAAATTTGGTCCAGTAGCTGAAACGACTTCATATGTATAATATGCATATATAAATATAAGTACATGTACATACATAATATAAACATGCACTAATATAGATATATGCATGTATACATATTGCACTAATATAGAAGTATGCAGTTACAGATACATGTAACTTATTCAATAGGCATTATACTTTTTACAGAGGTCTCTCTGATAAAAATAGGGTGTTGGGAAAAAGCCCTTGTAGGCTCTTTGTGTTTCCAGTTTTATGCTTATCAGAGATAACAGAAACATCTTCTAACCAGCCAGTCTTCAATAGCATTATGGGATGAGAATAGACTGGGTCAGTCCATGGAAGAACATCATTTAGTGCAGTAATATTTTATTCACAGTATCTGTAAGCTCAAATCACTTAATGATCCTTTTCCATGAACCTTGCTAATTCCTATGGGTATGGTACAGAGAGAATTCAGGCACAGGTTAAAAGAGTGTCAAGGTGGGGCTGGGAAGGCAGCTCAGTGCTAGAGTGCTAGCCTTGCATGTGTGAGGGTTTGATTTCTCAGCACCACATTAGCAAAAAAAAGCTGGAAGTGGTGCTGTGGCTCAAGTGGTGCGCTAGCCTTGAGCTGAAGAGTTGAGGGACAGTGCTCAGGCCCAGAGTTCAGGCCCCACGACTGGCAAAAAAAAAAAGTGTTAAGGCGTAACTAAGTCAAGTGTGACTCTGATTCTGTGCTATTTGATTTGTTGATCATGTTCAATACATTAAGGTAAACCTTTCAATATTTACCCAGGACGTTGAGCAGTGGGAGAGCATCTACACAGCGGTTGGTTCCAAGTGCTATATAATTGCAGGAGCTGCATCCAAAAGCATTTCAAAACTTCTAGAGAATCAAATCACCAGCATCCCCAAATGCCATGGACTGATCCTGAGACATACCAATCAAACGACGATGTCTGATATGGTAGAAATAACCAATCTTGCCGACAGTGAGTAAACACAGCCAAAAGACTCAGGATGAGTTGCTTATACAAAAATCCCCCAAATATGCAGTACATCAAAGCTCATAGAAAGCAAGTAATCTCAAAAAGAACAATCTCAAGAGCCATTTGTCAGCACATTCTCTTTTTCTGGCAAAGAAACTGCAGCTAGGTGATTCATCTTACCAAGTTCTAACACCATCCCCTCACTGAGCTTCACGACAAAGGCCACTTCCCTGTCACCTGCATAATGGGAAAGCACCTGTCTAACTCTGAACAAGGCCTGCTTCCCTCTGAAAGGGAACTAGCACATTTATTCCTTTGCTTGGGCTACTTAGCCTAGGCTAAAAAAACCTCAGAGAAACCCAAAGGATTATTACAGCCTCTCTTACTATAGAACAGGATCCAACCTTTGAATCACAGACTATGGACCCCATGGCTGCCTTAGCCATGTTTCCTGACATGGGGCAGTGTTCCAGATCAGGAAAAAAAAGCTCAATACTCACAAAGGCAAGGTATCAAGCACTATCAGGGAGGTCAGCAAGGACAGATGTGTTAAGCCTGCAGCACAGGTACTAAAAAATCCCTCTTTGTGCTCACTGTCACCGCTTCATTTCTGTGAATCAAGGAGCTTCTATGTGGACAAGTGAGATGAGGATGCTCTTACACACAGATTCAACCCAAGTACTTGATTGAAATAAACTTAGCTAGTAATCTACTCGGACACCAGGGGGCTCTTTTGATTTGTACTGACTTGGGAAAGTCTAGGGGGGAGGTTCAGAATGTGGAACTTGATCAGTTAGGAAAATGACAACGAGAAGACCCAATCAGAAGCAAACAGCTTTCCATCAGTACAAAGACCTGGGGCAGATGGGGAGGTTCATTTTCTACTACTTGGAAGCTGACAGGCAGGTTGGCAGGGCTGAGTAGCATCATCAAGAAGGCATCTGTGAGCAGGCCCTTAGCAAGGAAGCTGGGAATCAGACGTGGGATCCAAGCACTGGGAACCAGGGGATGACAAGCCTGAGAGGCCAGAGGAGAGCAGCTTCGTGTAGGACCCACAGGCATTTTAGCTTTGGATTTACTCTGAAGTACAGTCATTTCCTCTAGTTCAAACGCGTTACTACCTCACGTTCTAAACATACTGTTCCACTGGCTTTGAATGTTTTTTCCTGTACTTGTTACTTAGCTATCTACTCATCATTTAGCTATAGGCTTAAATGGCTGATGTGTACATGCCTTCTCTGACCTCCCCTCCCCTACTCGTTTTAAACCTTCCTTGTGGCATCTTTTACTTTTCCTCTATAGGAAAAGCATAATGATTTATGTGATTATTTAATAGCTGGTGACCCCTACTAGATGGCAGACTCCAGTAAGTTCATGAATGCATGTGTGCACAGCATACTGGGACTTAGGAACTAGAAAGGGAAGTCTCAGATCCTCATCAGGACACAAAGGCAGAGTGGCAGCCAGGGGCCAGGGAGGAGCTACAGGTTGAATGACAGGTCCAGGCAGGGCTGGCTGGGAAGGGCCTGTCCTCTTGGGCCCCACCACTCAGCAAGCATCTGTCACCCACTTCACACAGCTCATCTAAAAACACATATACTGTCACTAGGGAGAGGGGCTCTGTGGTTGTGCTCTTTGTAGACAAATTTCATAAGGTTTTGAAACCCTCACTACCCACATTATTCTTACATTCAGAAAGACAGCTTCCTTTAGGCAGCCTATCAACTCTACATTTGCTGTCCTTGAACTTAAGTGTATTTCACTGACTCAAGGATGCACGTTGTCTACACTGAACAGCAAGGAAGCCAAATCATGTCGTACAGCTGTGTCTTAGGAATGTGTCCATTTGATAAACACTTCCCCATTTTTCACTGACAATACTGCATCTTACTAACAACGTATCTTAAATTTGATGAAAGACAGTATTTAGTATTTATGGCCTCTAGCTATTGGAAAGAAGACGATACAGATAACCCAGGCAATAAGAATGTAAGTGTTTAGGCTAGAATTGCCAACTCTGGCAAGCTTCTATTTTTGATCCCAAAGGCTCTGATATTTATCAGAATGGTTCTACGCCACACAAAACTGACATGAAACACTTCTCCAGGTAAGAAGCAAATCGTCATTCTTGGAACTACAGAAGGAGAGTCGTCTGATGACAGCCTTGTCGATTTGGTAAGTGCTGAATGCTGGTCAATTGCAGAATTGCCAAAACACTGCTTTTATCGCGAATTGGTATTTCAGAGAAATGCAGTCTTTGGTGAAGAAAGTCATGTAACCTTTTATGAAATAGACTTGCTTCCTCGTAGACAGCTGCCTTTTGCAAAGAGCTAATCTTTGAACTTTTAAAAAGAAGCAAAATTGAAGTCCAGGGAAAATGACGAGTACACTTAAATGACTAGGGTATGCACTAGCAATCTTTCCCCGAAAAAGAAGGGTGAAAGGCCAACCTGTTCTTACGTGAAATCAACGTGCTTACAGGACCAGTAAAGTGCCGCATGGACAGCCAGTCACGCCATCTGTCTGCCCTTCGTGAGCAGGCCACTTTACTTACATCAAGATAGAAAACCAAGTTTTAAGAGAAAACCCTCAACAGCACATTGTGACATTACTCTTTCTCTTTATAAAGAATTGTTCATGGCTTAGCAAAACACCACTCCCCCATAGAAAAGAAGTTGTTTTCTTTGTTCAGGCTGTTGGACTCGGTGTCCGGTTTGTCAAGTTGGGGGGTCCTTCTCGAGGAGAACGAGTGACTAAGTACAATCGTCTTCTGAATATAGAGGAAGAACTTGTCCAGAATGGGACCTGGGGTATGCACTGCTTTCTTGCTTTGTTTTCACTTAGCCATGAATAAGGGAACAAAGACTGGAGGAGGGGGGAACAGAAGTCCCTCAGCAGGAGGGCAGGAGAATCAGAAGACCGTAAATCAGGGCTGACAGAGCCAGGGTGGCACTGCCACAATGTACATTGTTTTCTTAATGGATTATCTGTTTACCTGAATGTTTAACACTCTTGCCCTTCTTCTTGCTGAATGGGCTGTGTGATTCTTTTCAGTAGAATTAATTGATTGGAATCCCTAAGCCTACCTTTTGTTATGGGCCAAATTACACTTAAAGGTTCTCTGCACTGTCCCTGAAAGTGAAAGCAGATGTTTTTGCTGATGGTTCTTGGAAACAATTCGTTTTACTTCAGCCTAGTGGGCAGCATGCTAATTTTCATGTTGTACCCTGAAAAGGCCAAGGTCACAAGAGAAGTGAACTGATCACTTAGTTTGTAAAATTTGAGTGGATAGCAGCATTTTGTGTGTAGGCTGGTGGTAAATATTCTAGCTACACATTCTTGTTTTCTCTATTACTGATTTTGGTACCCAAAGGAGGGCTAACATGTAGAGAAATATCTAAAGAAACTGACAGAAATCTTGATTTTAAACTGGTCATCTTTAACAGGAAATAAAGAGCTAACAGGGCAGCCATTTCTTTGACATGGGAAGGCAATCAGAAGTCTGGGCCAGGCACTGGTGGCTCAGGAGGCAGAGATTGCAATTCAAAGCCAGCCCAGGCAAGAAAGTCTGTGAGATTTTTTTTGGGGGGGGGTCTGGTAGTGGGGCCTGAACTCTGGGCCTGGGCGCTGTCCCTCAGCTAGAGGGCCACTTACGGCTTTTTTCTTTTTGCTTATGTGGTGCTGAGGAATCGAACCCAGGGCCTCAGGCATGCAAGGCAAGCGTTCTACCACTGAGCCACCTTTCCAGCCCCAAGTCTGTGAGATTCTTATCTCCATTTAGACATACCTGAGTTCAAGCCCCATGACCAAAAATAAATAAATACTGAGATCTGAGGATCATAGTTCAGTCACCCTGGGCAGGAAAGTCTGTGAGACTCTGATCTCCAATTAACTAGCAAACAATAGGAAGCAGAGGTGTGGCTCAATTGGTTCATACAAGTCTTAGTACTGGCACACAAAAAAATGTTAAGACTATGCTGTTTACTTATGACACACTGGCTTTTTTGTCAAATAGGTCAGACTCTATGGTTGTACATACCATTTGATTGTCCTTAAGTGTACCAACTTGTGGAGGCCTTAGGAAGCTCCAGTGCGTTCTCCATCTGCATCCAGACTCCTCAAGGAACACAGCTACCCAGAGCACCAAAGCAAACTTGTGACCAGAGGCAGGGGGATCGGGGAGTCCGAGGTGCTATTTGTAGCTCTGGAACTAAAGACTTAGTAATAATTTCTCTGGCACTGGGCAGTAAATATTAAGGGGCCCCCTAAACTGGCAAAACAAAGCTCTCTACTCCCACTTTTGAGTAGCAGATCTTGGCACAATCAGTCTGCCTGGGACTGTCTCTCCATACCAGCCTTTCCTCTACATTGTTGTCTTCCTCTTAGCCTTTTCTGCTGAGTCTTTGGCACTGTGCCTCAGACTTCCCTAAACATGGCATTAGATGTCCTATACACTAGACAGGACAACAGGGGTGCACAAATAAGGCCTAACTGAAGACAGGACATCTTAAAGAGGTGTGGATCTGAATGGCAGTGTGACTCCTTTGGGTGTTTCTGGTTCTGTCCTTCAAATCATGTGATAAATAACATCAGAATTGGTAACACTAGATCAGACAGTAACCTTCATTGTTGTTGGTTTTAAACAGGTGCTAGTGAAGAACACACTTTCTTCCCCTTTACCGAGGATGCCGAGAAGCCTGCTACGGCCGCACTGAGTGAGCTGGTTCCCCAGGAGCCCATCTTCCCCACCGAGGTTATAGAGGGCTCAGCTAGACGCTGAGCATCTTTGAGGTGGGGCTGGGCCCCAGGCCAGAGGCATCCCTTGCGTGCGTGCTAGGCTCATAGGTCTGAAGTATGTCTCCATGTTGGCTTTGTTGTGAAAACTTCACTAACGCATGTGATTTTCATTTCTTTAATCTCATTGTTTGGTGTATATATATAATGCCCCAAATTTTGTCATACTTCCATGGAGACACTAGTTCCACTCTCCATTTTTCAGGATCACGTTTCTTAGATGCATTTTTGTTGTCAAATTCCATACTCTTAACGTCTTGTTCATTACAAATCAGAACACCTCTAAAAATACCATGTCTGCATTCTTCAAGAAGTTCTCCATGACCAGTGGGTGTCCACCTTCTGTGTTCCTTTTCCACCTCTGTGCTGACACAGAGCCAGCCTTGGGTAGAACTAGGAGAGGGGTGGGTACCCTTTTGGGAAGAGCTGAATGGCTTCAGCCCCCTTTCCTACACTTGACTCCTCTTTCGCCACTCCCCCTTCTTAAATTTTACTCTTGTATTTTACTTTTTTACCTATGTGAATCTCCTCAGACACTTTTTTAGAAGGACAAGTACAAATAAGTACAGGGGCTAGCAAATATTCCTAAGGTTATTAGCTATCAGTTAGTTACACAACCGCTTTTTAAAGATTTGGAAGGTTAAAAATGATGTAACGTGCAATATTGACTGAGTCACCTCTTTTGTAAGTCACTGTTGGGGTTATAGAACTGGAATACCAGAAATAACTTCAGAGACGGCCTATATATGTGATGATGACCACTGCTTTCGATGACTGGGTTTCTATTCAAAGGGTTACCATTTGCTGCTCTTAAAAGTTATATAAATTGCTATATCCTGACCTACAGTAAAAGTTATATAAATTGCTATATCCTGACCTACAGCAGGGTGACTAAATTTAGGCTTCTTGGTCTATAAATTTTTATTAAGGAAGAGTGCCTCTTCCTTTTGAAGAGTATGAACGAGGGAACTTTATGGCCTCATAGTAGATCAACTTCTGATTCTCAAAGCTACAATTTGAGATTGGCTCAGTAGGAGATGCTTGGAGAATGGAGCAGAGAACTGGTTGGAATTGGAATTATGTCACAGTCTGTAGCTGTCATTGCCTCTCTTGGCATTTAGCCACAAACAGGGAGGCAGGAGAAATTGGATGGAAAATTCATCTTCAAGGTAGGATGAACATGATTGGTATTCACACAGCCTTTGCAAATGTACACACACGGGTATGTGCCCTGAAAGGGCTGTAAGTTATAATCAAATTAATGAAACCTAAGCAAAAATAATTAACCTAAGAAGGGATTTATTACTGTAATGAGGTCAGTACTTTTAATTCCAACCTAGATCACAGTCTTCTCACATTAGCCTTATTTGAAGCCTAAACTCACCAACAGATAGGGAGCACTGTTTATGTTCTTCATATATTCATAAAATATTTAACATGTAAAATATATAATGTCGATAAAAAGTGATGGAGACGTTAATCATATGCAGATCCCATATGGCCTTGGGGCGGGGAAACATCACACACTCCCATTCTGTGGGCGTGATCAGATGACTCTTCTGAGGTAGTGACAACAGTGGGTGGTCATCCACTCCCAACTTGCTGACACAGAGTGAAGCTGTTCTCGGATGGAAGTGAAGGCACACCGACAGTGTGCCTTTAGGAAGGCGCTCTCCCCTGGTTTTGAGACTCTCTGATAAAGACTATCACTTGCCTGACCACACCACCTACCACATGACCCAGAAAGATAATCAACTATCATTTTTACCTCTATCTTCTCCCTCTCTAGCTATCCTTCCACTGTTAACAAAGGTAAAAGAAGGAGGAATTACTGGTGAGTAGGCTGGAGCCAAAACATCCACCCTTTCCCCTCTGGCCAACCCAGGCTGGGTGCCTCTGGCCTTGGTAACACACCAGTCAGACTCCCAACAAGCTGAGCAATAAATTCTTACTCTTCTTGAAGGGAGGAAAGACACTTTCTTTTTCCCTATTAGCAACAACACAAAGGACCTCTCCCCCTCTGCCTCACAGTGGCTATAAAAGCATGTCAATGCTAAGAAAAGTGAAGCAGAGAGACTTATGTTATGCTTCCAAGGCAGAAGGAAAAATAAACACATGCCCTTTTAGAGAAAACAGAACCATACACTCTCTCCCAGCTACAGCTGTACACAGTGGTGCAAACAGAATGCACACGCAATTTTTGTGCACAGCTGCAAACTCACTTTAAATGTACAAGGACTAGTTTCCTTGTGTCTGCCTATCCTAGCCCAACTGCTTTTTTAACAGCTAGGCAGCAGGGGCAAACCCTCAAAGCTGAGGTGAAAAGGCAAAGAAAAAGATGAGTAAATACTGTGTACCAAATACCCTCAAACCAATGTGACTAGAAACACTCTGTGAAGACTAGAGATGTAGCACTTGCCTAGCATGCACAGGCCCCTGGCTCAACCCCCAGCACCATAAGAAAACAAAACAAACAAAACAATTTCTAAGATGTTTTGAAGTCATATGTTCAAAAGTATAGAAGGCAGAACATTTTCAAAATACCAGGTGTGAACTGATGCCTGAACCAGCAATCATATCTAATCTAATGTTTAACTTCTGCTGGAAACGCAGATGTTTTAATAACCATGTCATCCTGTTGATGTGTGTATGGAATATAGATAGTGGTATGCATATTTTTATATTCCTAAATATATGGAAGAAAACTGGTGAGAGAGGACCACAAGAACAAAACTGGTGGACTAGGGTGTGTGGGGCTCAAGTGGCAGAGAATATAAAATCCAGAAAAAGGAAAGGATGGATGGAGGTAGGAATGAGGGGGAAAGGAAGGGGAAAAAATTGTTCCAAGTGAACCATTTTGTGGATCAATCATTAAAAATACTAACATTACCAACTCAATAGAAAGCATGTTAAGATTGGCTAAGTTTTGGGGCTATAACTCTATGGTAGAATTCTTGCTCCATTTCCAGCATAGCCAAAAGAAAAAGAAAAGAAAAAGGAAGGGGGGAGTGAGGGAAAAAAAGGGAGGAGAGAAGAAAGGGAGAAAGGGGGGGGGAGGGAGGAAGGGAGAGAAAATCCCTGGACCATTTGGAGAACTAAATAATAATCAATAACCACAATTGACCTTAGTGGGAAACTATTAGTGCTTTTTTTTTTCTTTCTTTTTTTTAATGTGTTGTGATGAGAAGAGTTCAATGTACAACATAACAGAATTCGTCTGTGGATCCATCCATTTAGAGCTTGCATATCACATAGCAGAATTATTCAGTTAGGCATACATATGGTTGGAAAACATTACATTTTTTAATTCCCCACGAGAAAACCGATAGATAACTGTCAAACCATCACTGGAAGAACATGGGGAATAGTCAAGCAGAGTGAACCCACTGAAATGGACCGAGTCAGTCCATTCACCTGTCTCCCCACCTTGTCAAACCTATGCTCAGCACACGTGCAAAAAATATAATAAAACACAACTACTGTAATTATTACTATCATTTTCTTTTGCCCTTAGGTGCAAAACACCTGACAGCTACATGCTGAGTCATGCTAACACAACTAAACCTTTCACTTTCTTTAATAGTAAAATTACCATTACCGAATCATTGTCATAAAAAAGTGCATTCAAGTGCATTACCACTTATTTTAAATAAACACCAATTTTGAAACAATCAACTTTGAAAAGCTGCATAAGTTTTTTTTTTCTTTAAAAAAATCCCTGATTACATTTCTATTTATTCGCGGTGGTAGCCTGAAACGTTGTATTTTTAGAGACTAACTACCACTTAATTTCTTTAAAAAAGAAAAAAAAAGAGAAACAAAACAAAAAACCTGGGTAATGCAGAACAGCAGTGAAGCCAGAAAAAAAGGTGTGCTTGTCACTGTGCATAAGAACTGTGATAAAATACGGTACTCACACCGGGTTAGTATATGGGAAAACACAACTCACAGTACAGAAAACATGGCTTATCAAGATATTACTGTGAATTTCAAGCTTCGGACTTTTCACCTCAATTCTGTATTCAGGCCACCGGAACATTCCCACTGAAGTCCTTGGCAGGTGTTAGGCATGAGCAATTAATTGCACCTTTTTTAAAAAAACTGTGTAATTAGCCCTGAACTAAGGGACAAGTAGATAATGCCAGAGCCCAAGTTCAAAGTTCATCCCAGGCTACCCTAGAAAATAACCTGTAGGCCACAGTCCCCAGCAGGTCCCATGCTGCTGTAGTTTCTCCATCAAAAGACAAGGAGACCCCAAACAGAAGCCTCTTTAGAATAGAGTTGAAAAAGAAAATTGTGAGGGGGTCTAACTGTGCTGCTTAGGCTAGTCTGTTAACTCCTGGGTTCAAATGATGAGCCTACCTCCGCCTTCTGAGTGCTGAGACTACGGGCATGTGCCACTACAGCTCTGGGGACTTTGTAAGTCACATTAAGTTGGTCAGTTCTGTTTATCCAATGATCCACAAGCACCTCAAAGGTTTTCAGCATTACATTTGATAAGTGGTATGCACAATTCCTCCAAAGATATCAGCATTTGCATCTTAGCCTTTAGCAAGAAGTCTTACTTAATACAGTAATCAGGAAAAATCTTATTAAGACAAAGAAAAAACAAACCCAAAGCTACTTAGAATGTATATGTTGTTAAATCACTTACTTATGTGTATAGTTGCTACTTACAAAAGTGATACCAGAAAAACGTGTATCAGAAATACAGGGAGCAGAACAGAATGGCTATAGCCTTAGACAACACACCAAGACAAAGCATGTGCTTATGAAAAAGGATTCCAACAGGTCAGCTTTCCGGTTTCCCATCAGCAGTTGGAGCTGTCTGTCTCTCTCATTTTTTCAACGCTGTCTTCTTTGTATTCTGTTTCAATTCCGCCTTCCTCTTCCTTACATTGAGTTGGATCTTTTGCAGTGACCTGGTCTTTGGTTTGGGGTTCACGTGTAGAAACGGGATCTAAAACTACAACTGGTTCAGCTTGTTTTTCACCGCCAAAGCATCTTCTCCTGTATCCGCCATTACTGGGAGGCCTATGGGATAGAAAGTTAAATGGGAAAAATAAAAGGCAGACATAGAAAACATGTGTCTTTCCTATTCCTGGATTCAGACCAAATTGAAAAAAAAAATCCTGCGATATTCTAAGTCTAATCAACATGCATGTAGTAGTCTTTGAGATGCCAGCCATTAAAAAATAATAATAAAGCTATCAGATTACATGTTAGGAGTGCAAGGCCAAGTGAGAGAAGGCAGGAAAAGTTAAAGCGATTAAGTACGGATGTGTTTTAAAAGCCAAATGTACCTACCTGCTTAATGGCTTGCTCTTCTCAGGAAGTACAAAGCCCATGGGTCCATTGTGTAACCCATCATTGCCCACGCCCTGATCCCTACCCCACAGCTCCCTCTCAGCTGGAAGGAGCCAGTCCAACCCCTTCCCCTCCTCTTGCTCCAGAGCAGCTGGCTGCAGCTTAGCTCTGAGACTTCATGGAGAGGGGATATGGCCCTCCCCCTCACTGATGGGACAGGTGAGGGCCGCAGCCAGCTGTGCCCACAGAGACCTGAGCTCAGGGAGGGGAGCAAGCGGGAGGTGGCAGAGTTCGGGGAATAAGCTCGAGCACTAAGTTACCATCAGGTTTTTAAAAATAGGACAATCTGGGTTCTTGAGACATTTTCTTAATGAATTTCAGAGGTGGTTTGGGAGATCAAGAGAATTTTAATTTGAGGCCAGCCCAAGAAGAAAGTTCACAAGATCCCAGCTCAATCAACAAGCCAGACGTGATGGTAGGATTATAGTCCAAAGGCAGCCCTGGACAGAAACCTGAAATCCTATCCAAAAAAAATAAAGTAATAAAAAAAGGAGGCAGGGGAGGCAAAGGCATGGCTCAGGTGGTAAGGAACCTATCCAGCAAGCACCAGCCTCTGAGTTCAAATCCTGTAACTGAAAAACTATGGCCAGAAGCTACTAAGGAGAAAGCCCTGGGCTGCCGTTACCCGGAGATTGAGCACAGAGCTAGGGCTCTATAGAAGGTTCTGGGCCTCTTGGCTGGCGCTAGGACCAGGCTTTCTTTAAGCCTCAGAGACTTAGACTGCCTGGGCACCAGCACCTTGCTCTCCTGCTCCTGATGGGTACAGTGCTTCTGAGCTGCTGGCTGGCCCCGCCCCAGGAGTGGCTTCCACTACCCCTGACCGCTAAGCAGGCTAGATGGGCCTGTGAACTTTTTCACCTTGTTCATTTCTCTTGCTAGGCTTACCACTGTCAGTTGCTTCCTGTCTTCTGACAGCATGCAAGCATCCACGAGGCAGCACTCTTTTCTCATTCACAACTCTATCCCCAACAGAGCACGGACTGTTTGTAAAAGAGCCCAATGATCAAATACTAACAAACTGAGAATAGCTTAGAATGAACAGGAGAAGCCAAAGCATTTGGTGTGAGCACATCTGGAGGTCTCTTATGCCCAAAACCACAGAGGAAGTGGTCAACTCCTAGAAAATGTCCTGTATGACCCAGGCGAAGTCCAAACCACTAAATGCAAACACAGCACTTCACTTTCTGAACTGTGCTACAAGCTCAGTCCACATGCTTAGAAGTTGTTTTCAGACTATCAGGTCCTATTAACTTGGGGACATGGCCATCATGGTGTGTGTGTGTGTGTGTGTGATGGCGTGTGTGTGTGTGTGATGGCGTGTGTGTGAGTGTGATGGCGTGTGTGTGTATGTGATGGCGTGTGTGTGTGTGTGATGGCGCGTGTGTGTGTGTGTGATGGTGTGTGTGTGTGTGTGTATGCGCTGTCTTCCTTGGGGTAAGAAAAGGAAGGAGACCTGGGTGCTTATACTGTAATAAAGATGGTGTCAGTGTGTCTTCACTAGAAAGCATTATCACATTGTCTATCTGCCCTGGCCAAAGAACCACTTAGCCATCTGCTACTGAACTAGGGGTTAGGTATGAGGTGTAGGATCCCCAGGGGGTACCTTCTATCATGTTCTGTGGCTCCAGTAACAACTGAAAGTCTGTCATCAGAAAAGCAGAGCCAGAAGACTCAGAAAGAAAGGACCCTGGGTGCTGGAGGGTAAGACCAGGCTGCCCCTGCGCCTGATGCTGGGCCTGAAGACCATTGCTCTGCAGCTGAAAGGAAGGTGGTCTTAAAGTGGCAGAGACTGATGACAAACCAGAGCTGCTTTGTCTATCCCCCACAAGTACCAATCCTCACCATGCATATGACCTGTGAGATCAGCTGGAGCTGTCCACCCATTGCTGTAAATGCACCTGATCTGGGATGGGGAAAAGCTAGAGGACATGGGAGAAGCTGGAGAACAGCAGGCCGGCCACTGCCACATGCCAATTAGGCCTGTCTGCATGTCAGGGTTGCCGTGCAGGAGCTGTAACAAAGTCTGCCCTGCCACTCATTACTTTTTTAAATGATGACTTCACTTCTGCCTTCTATATCACATGCAAATTTCTCCTGGGGGTAACTGGAAACAAATATGTGAGAGAATTTTAGGAAGTGAAGCTGCAGCCTTGCTTAGGTTTCTGGGAAAAGCCATGTGGAAATCTGCAGGCCAAGTTCAGGCAGCTTCACCAGCTGGAGTCTTGAGCCCTTGACCGTGTAAGCCAGCCAGTCTGCAGAAAGCATGCAAAAGATGTCTTTGTTTCATTCTGCCATTGGGAGTCAGCAACGTCCATCAAGCCATACCAACCTGGTCACTGGTGCAACTATGAAGAATGTTTCACGCCCCTGAGTGTGGGCAGGTGAAGAGCGGTGAGCGTGTCCTAGAAAAAGCTGTCTTCATCAGTGTTTGGCAGGGTCCAAGCACCTCCAGGAAGTGCTCTCCGTGCTTTACAACAGCAATGAACAGGTTGAGTGAACTGAAAACTCAGAAACTGTACTGTCAGATGACACTGTCCTGGAATCATCTCAAAGCCCAAAGAACAGTCTTCCTGAATTAAGCTGCTCAGCTGCAGATTCACCTATTCTGTCCCTTGCAGGCCCATGTCGTGTTAACAGGAGCCCCCCGGCTAACTCTCAGACCTGAGGATGACCACAGATACACAATTAAAAGTCAGTCTGCATAAAAAGTCATGGCAATCCTTCCCCTACATGTAGCAAAATCTGCCAAATACAACTGAAATGTTACAAGTGGCAAGAAGTGAGACTAGAATTCTAGAACACTCAGGCTTGAAGAGATCTCCAATGTGTACTGGTCTAACCCCTTCATTGGTCAGAAGAAGACTCCAGGAGAGATGAAATGGCTGGATCGACAGCACAAAACCTAAACAGCAAATACAGAACACACTGTGGAATCCTGATCTCCTAGCCAAAGTTTTTTCCTTGATAAGTCATTTATGATCCACTCAAATATATATTCTTCACGGGCTATTTTAGACCATATGCTCAAAGGTAATTTCAAGACAAAGAAACCAATAAGCAAAATGCTAGGACAAAATGTGCCAACCTACACTACTCTTCAGAGCCCAATGCCCAGGTACAATGTAGGCGCCCTTTTAGAAAGCAGCTACTGTTCCCCAACTGCAGGAGAACCAGAAGGTGGGGCTGTAGCAGGTGGGACCCCCTGCTGGGTGAAAGGAAAGAGCTGGCTCCCAACTATACTGGTTCCGGAAAGTATGAGAACAATTGCCAATGGTTCCACCACTGCAGAACTTGATAAAGGGATTCGGAGATTTCTCAGACTATGTCACAAGAGACTAAAGTGCACCATTCGGATTTTTAAAAAGCACATCATTGTTTGCATTCAATGAAATTCCTTTCAAAATCAACTTTCCACATCCCAATTATATTCAACAACATTCTAGCTAACATTTCGGCTGCAATTCAAATTAACTAATGCTCCAAAGAGCCCTAATCGACATGGTTCTGAGCTCAATTGAATACAATCAAAGCTCATGAAATGAAGGGGGACATGCTTATTTCATGCAAATTCTGCATATCACTCAAGCTTAATTTTACTGATAATATAAAGGTGGGACATTTTGAACATTACAGTGAATGAAACTTTTAAGCGGTGAGAGTTATTTTATAAAATGCTACCTCTGAAAAGCGGATTGCCAAACAGTATAAAAATGGTTTGAGGCATAAATGCCAAGTTCATTTCTATTTCACTTCTGAGGTAACTATCTTTCAAATCGCAACAGCTGGACTATTTAACACAATCTGGTGAATCAAAGTACAGCTCTTCTCTGGTCTCCCAGTGGGACGTCTGCATTAGTCTGTGGCAGCCGTCCAACAAATGACGCACAGCCGGACGGTCTGAACTCTGTTTCATTTACAATAAAAATGGATAAAAAAAAAACCCCACAATCGTATTTACCACCTTCAAGGACAGAAAACGGAAAGATTTAAATTTGTCTTTACAAAGTAGTTTCCTGGGAAATATCCAAAGAGGAAGTCAGCTTTCTATTTTCCCCAGTATAAAAATAAGTCCTTTCCCCCCCCCTCCAAACCCTTTTACACAGTCCCTACAACAGCTAAGGGAACGTGATATTCAGCAGAGATAACATTTATTGTTTCTTTCTGAAATTCTGCTTTTCAGAGCTTTGAACACACTCATCCAAAACTTCACAAAACGAAGTTTGCAACATAAGCTTGAGACTTTTATATCGTGGCTATTTTATATATTTTTTTTAAGTATAAGCAGAGCTAGAACAAAGCTTTTGAGGCTGGGGCGGGTGGAGACTCCATGTACTTTTCTTAACAGTCCATTTTAACTCAAGGAATATGTTAATTTGTTCATATGAGTTTGCTTTCCTTGATGGAAAAAGCTTTCATTTTTTTTGATGATTAAAAAACTAACATTATTAGAGTGAACATGGCCATATTTGGAAATCTGACATTGGTCTCTAGCTCTCAGGATTAACCAGAGTTTCTTTTATCATAGGTAACAAAGGCTGGGCAAAGACCTTGCATCCCAGCTCAGCAGTATTTCCTTTAGTTTTATAACTGCTGCCCAGGCAGCCGGGGGCACAGCTAACATCCCAGCCCACAGTGCACGGTGCATACTATGAGGCCAAAGCCAGTGC